TGGTGAACCCCAACCATAAAATTATTTTCGTTGCTACTTCATAACTGTAATTTTGCTACTGTTATGAATTGTTAAGCCTGATTCACTTAACAACAGTGTTACTAATTTAACTTGTAGTGATTCACTTGACAGATGTGACAAGAAAAACGGGGCAAAACCCACAACAAACCTCTCACTTAGCAACATAAATGTTGGGCTCAAGTATGGACTGGTAAGTCAAGGACTACCTGTATGTTAGGCTTGAACAAAAACAGGCCAAGAGGCGAAGGGTTTCCATTTGTCCCTATTCCAGCAGGGCAACGTTTGCTTCTTAAGGATGCCAAGAGAGATCCCCGCTGGATCTCTCACCAGCAGGGCAGCTCAATCGGGTCTGCCGACTGTCACACTTTCAAGGGCACTAGAGGGCAGCACCCAGCCCTGGACTTCCTTCATTGCTCCCAGGAAGCTGCAGGCTGGGCCATAAGGGCAAGGCGCGCGGGGTCATCGGAGAACAAAGCCGGCTTTCACTTGATGCGCTGCCTGGCTCGTTTGCCCGCCTGGCTTTCCCACCTCCTTACTAGGCCCAGGAAAGTGGCGCAAAGAGCAACCAAAATGCACTACTTCAGTGCCCGGCGGGAAGCCGCCACCGCCGTCGCCAGCTTTCCCACACAAAAGCTGCCACCTGCCCGGTTTCTTCGCCTGCTGCCATCACCCACCTTTACGACTGGCTGAAGGGCGAGCCGCGCCGAGCTTCCAGGCGGTGACTCTCTGGTGGCCCCATCCTCCCCAGCGGTGTCCCCGAAGGCTCCTGCTTCTTCTCGCACTCCCTCCTCTTCTTCCAACTGGGCAAAGCGGACCTGCTTCTTTGCGCTCCCCACCGCCATATGTCTACTACACCAGAGGGCCACCGCTGCAGAGCCAGGCAGGGGGCCGACTAATCCCAGAGCCAGCGGCATCTTGGCAGGCGAAAAGAGCACCTTAAGACCACACTTCCCAGAAAGCAACGGAAACCAACTGTTTACGGTGTGGAGGCTGTTGCTGCAAAACACCTCCCTTTCCACACTGAGGTTGGCGAATGTTGGCTACATTCAGTTCAATTAATTCCCCTCTTGAGTTATTGACTCTAGCCCCTAGAGGTCTTAGGTGAAGACCCCCGAAGAGGTTGCAACCCACAGGTTGAGAACCGCTGCTATAAAAGAATGCAAATGATCAGCTGCCTGCAAGGAATATAAATCCTTCCATTCCGCACCATCCAGTCAGAGCTGAAGAAGGTTCTTGGATGAGAATTGAAATGTCTTCGGAAAAAAAAACAAAGTCCGGTTGCCTCCTGAAAAAGCACTTTTGGGACAGCCATAACCTGGATTAATGAGAATCTCCATAGACTGTTATTCTGCTCTGTTACCCTAGTCTGATCAATGGTGAAGTAAAATATAGATGTCCTCAGTTAATGGCCCTAATTGGAACTGGCAACTTCACTGCTAAGCAAAGTGGTCACTAACTGGGAGATTTTATGACTGTGACTGTGCTTTTCAGCTGGAAAGAGACAAGACAACTCAGTTTCATAACTTCAATTTTAGTTTGCCAAATAACCTCTAACCCCCTCTTTGGAATGCTCAAGTTTCTGCCTATTATTGTGCACACATTGAAAGCAATGTGATGGCTCTGGCAGCAGCAGATGATCAAGCAAAGACATTTGCCTACAGAAATTGCTTGCTATTTTTCTTTGCCTCCCTCCTCCCTCACTCACAGAGCTACGATTGGAAAGAAAAAAGTATCACCGTATCTCTTGAATAACACACTCATGACTCCCAGCCTTGGGCAGCCAGCACAATTGCATTGTTTTAATGCATACAAGAGGAAAAAGGTTACTCTCTTGCAATAACCCCTTTCTCTCCAATCTTTCTGTTTTGCAGGGATAGGGAGAAGGGGGAAAAAATCAAAGATTTTCTTAACCCAGGCTCAAGCCCTTCTTATCACCTTGCTTCTTCCTCCTGTCCTTCAAGGTGATTCCTTATGCCTGTTCAAATCTTAAAATATCAAATCAGCCATCATTTACAAAGGCTTCAGTTAAACGTGAACATAAAAGATCACTTTCTGGAAAACCCACCGTAGTTGCTGAAGAGATCCTTCAGCCTCTTGTCATCCATCTCATCCCCAAAGTTTTTAATATAGACGTTGGTAAACTCTTTGGCTTTGACTCCCAATTCTGCCTCACGTTCTTTATGGGATTTAAATCGGCCAACAAACCTGGGTAGCAAAACAATGACAAGCCCTGGTAAATGCTCTGCTCCTGCCCCCGGGAGAAAGGCAAGGCAAGGTTTCAGGGAAGAAAGGCAAAAGCAAGCAGCCGGGGGAGGGGGGGGCGGGACGGGATTGCAAAGGTGGACACAAGACCAAGCTGAAGAACCCCCTGTCCTGAAGCAGAGATGCAGCAGGCCAAGGGCAGCCACTCACTGCCAGGCAGCATAAAGCCTCAGAGAGTCAACCCAGCCCACAGCAGGGAGGCATCAAGTGAAGCCAGACCCCCATGACAGGGGATGTTGGCTGTGGCTCGGGCAGGGAAACTCACCAGCCCTGGAGGAGACAGGCAGCAGGCCAAAGCTGGGGCCAGGAGAACCAGCAGCCTGGTGGGGTTATACTGAGATGCATCATGTCTCAGCTTCTGGCTGAGACACTCACACTTTGCAGTCGTTAAGCAGCATGCCGTTCATCTTCTCGATGGCGCGGTCCGCAGCATCTTGTGTCTCAAAGTGCACAAAAGCATAGCCCTTGGAGCCATTCTCATCACAAACCACCTGTAAATGACTGGAGTTGATTAGCCAGCATTGACACATCAGTTTACTTCCTGTTAAGTGTTCCCCAAGGACAAATGGAAGATGCAAAGTTTGCATCGTGCTTGCCATCCCCATTGTGAATGCAACTGTAAATCACTACAATCCAATGTCTGTGGTGGTTCTCAGGGTAATTTCAAAGTCTTTAGTTATGAGCTCAGTTCCCAAGCTATTATTTCACAGCAGAGAAAGAAGCCATCAGAGAAATATATGGGTGGCCCTACCCTCTTTCATCACTGGCCATATCCACCACTCCAGCCCCCAACTACTTTGCAGATTTTCACATTTTAGAAGTGCCCAGGGTGTCACTGAAACATTTTGCAAAGCAGGGATTAGCTCCAAGAAACTCTATAAAGAAGGCAGCTTAATTCTGATTTAAAGAAAGATTAATGAGATGATTTAACAAGTTGCCTTCCCCCTGCCCCCCACAAGTGCAAAACCCACCAAGTGTTTATATGAAATGTTGGATAGAATCTCAATATATATATATATATGAGAAAATCCATTTTGCCTGTCTCTCTTACACAAACTCACCTCTTTGTGCTTTATGCCACAAACCCGATCTTATTTGACATACATGGAGATTAAGACCCAGCCAATTCTGAGGGCCAGTTTCATGCAATTCAGGAAACGGAACTGGCCTAGAACTCACCTTGCAAGAAAGAATATTCCCAAAAGCAGAGAACGTGTCATAAAGTGCTTTGTTGTCTATGGATTTATCCAGGCTCTTAATGAAGACATTCCCTACACCCGATTTCCTCAAAGAGGGGTCCCGCTGAGACCACATGATGCGGATGGGCTTGCCTTTGATTACATCAAAGTTCATGGTATCCAGGGCTCGCTCAGCTGCAGCACAAAGAGCAAGAAAGAAAGAGAAGGGGAATTTTATCTTGAAAAAAGCAAATGAGTGTCCCATTGGGAGTTCACCTCTCAACACTTACTCCTTATTCACCTTGAAGATTTAGGGAGCATTTCCTCAGGACAACCTTGAGCCTGAGAGGTATATGGCATATGTATATATAGGTACATGCATATACAGACATGCACAATGATTATCAGTGCATTATGAACTTATAGCCCTGGGGAACTGACACTAACAAGTTGTCTTATAACATCTAATAGATGCATGACAAAGAAATAACCTATTCCAGAGAAGATTCTGCCCTTTCTGGATGAGGCAGGCAAGCACTAGAGAAACATGCCTCTTGGCCTTGGATCCAGGGGATTTGGATCATTTTTATCATATCTCCAACCTTCCCTTCTTGGTTACTGAGAAGATTACAGCTTACAGCTCCAAAGGGTCCTGGAAAAAGTGGATTATTTGGAGCCCTTCTGGTCAGGTTCAGACCAGGATACAGAAAGCTTTGGTCGTGCTTGTTGATATCCTGTGCGGCAGGCGTATTGCACCCATCCTGGCAGTTCTTGATTCTCAGCCACCTTCTCTACCACTGCCAATGGCATCCTTCTGGATCACTTTAGTGGGTTGAGAATGAGGGGTGATGTTCCCCTTCCCCCAGGGCCAATTCCATTTGGTAACAGAAGGGTGAGGAATCTAGTCTTAGATCGCTGCTTGGTGAGCTGGCTCAAGTCTGAGAGTTAAGGAAGAAGATATTTTGGCTAAACCATACCAAGACTGAGTGGCTGTAGGTTTGGGGCTCCAAGAGTGTGTGAGAGAGTTTAGCTTTGACTTGTATGGGGTTATTCACTATTCCATTCAGATATAGTGTATAAATTGGGGATCCTCCTGGACTCACAGCTCCTGTTCAAAGATGACAGCTGTGATCAGGCGGGCCTTCCCCCAACTTTCTTTTGTGCCCCAATTGTATTTAGTATTTTAGTTTTTATTAATACTTATAGGCCGCCCTTTTTCCTGAGGGGACTCAGGGCGGCTTACATAAAATGAAGGGAGGGGGTGTACAGACAATAAACACAAACAATACATAGAAGTAAAATAGTAAGCAACATTCATTCATCATTCGGGTGGGGGCAATTAT